TTTAAGGATTTGAGCACATGTTAGACAAACCTTTAAACATACAAAACAAAAAACAAAAAAATCAAAAGAAAAATTTTTGTCCTTGTGCTCTTCTTATTAATTAAAGTATTTTTAATTAATTTTACATAAATTTTTATATCAGATTCATTACTTTTTACAAAATTTAAGGTAAAATATTATATTATATTTTTATATATTATATTTTTATTTTATTTGAATATTGTATAAATTTTTGTGTAAAATTAATTATAAATATTATAATAAATGAGGTTTAACATATGTCTTCATAGCACAAGTTAAAAATTTTTTATATTTAAATATTTAAGAGTGAAAAAAAATCTTGAAAAATATTTTTTTTCCCAAGTCAAGTGGTTTTTTTTAAGTCAATGCCATGTCATTATCCAATCATCTTTTGTTAAAGGGCCACATCAAACGGAAAGATGACATTTTCTAACGTCATCCTTAACGGAAGGGGTGATTTACAAATTTCATGTAATAGAGGGGTTGATTTATCAGTGTTTCTAGCACAGAACTGATCTGCCACAACATTGCAGATACAGGGGTTGAATTTCACCTTCTTCTGCCGTTAAACTATTGTTAATTTATCACATGGAACTAATATATTTATAATTACATATATTAATGTGAAGTCATCTTGTGGACAACTCTTGTATTTGTTTTATTCATCACGTGAATGCATGATTGAACGGTGTGCCAACATTTAAAATCAGAATGTCTTACCTAAACGGTACTAACATTTGAAATTAGGATGTCTAAATTTTACTTGATTAGGTGAAAGGAAGTTAATTTTACTTAAATAAAATTTTAAATTTAAATTTTATAAATAAAAAATAAATACTAAAAAAGTTTTGTTTATGAGATTTGATACAGTTCAACTTTAAATTAATTGAGTATAATATAATTTCTAGATACTGAAAATTAACATATATATAAAAAAATATCTAAGTTTTTCATTTTATTTTGATTAATAATTAGGAAAAAAAGAAATTCAAACCTTTGTATTATCATTTGAAAGCAAGAATAACTATTAACAGAAAATTATAATATTTTATCATAAAAATTAATATTTATAAGTCAAATTTGTAAAAAATTAATAAAAATAACGGATTGATATTATATTATTTTATTAAAATATCACAAATTATATTAAAATAATCTATTTTTGTTTAAAAAATGAATCATTCTAATTTTTTTGGATCAATGAGAGGTTTTTTTTAGTAAGAAATTTCAAAGGGAAAACCAGAATATAAAAGTCAGATTTAGGTGTACAAATACTTTTTTTTTATTGAGGTAGGTGGTAAATCATTAAGTGCTGGATTGGATTGAGTGTTTTATTTTTAATGAAAAGGCAAAGAAAATCAAATCAGAATAGAAAGGCAGGCCCACCATGTGCTGTTCTCATCATTGACATTTACCCATTGGCCAACCTTCACAGGAAGAACGAACACAATTTTCTTACATCTCCTGGAGCTTATCCTTAACGGTTTAATTTTAATTAAGTTTGGAAAAAGACGTTCATTTTTCTATTCTATTTGGTTGTCGTGACCTCAAGAATGTCTGTTTCAGGCATTCTTCGTGAAAAAAACATGTTTTAATTTTACAAGGAAACGTTCATGCATGTAAGTATGTAACCATTGGATCGTTCCCCCATCAGAACCACTAAACTTTGTCTATAAATAGAAGAGCTTGAAGCTTCTGCAAAATACACCGACATCTCAACTATCCCCTCTAAAAATCCAGTGTTAAAGTTCCCTCAAACGGTCTGTTCGTTTATCAATATTAAGTAGTAGTGTTTTTCCTCGTTGGTTTAGTTTACTTTCTGATTTGTTAAGTAAAATTGTATGGAAATGTGATGTGTAGTTTGGACTTGACAATATGAATTAGATCTATTGGATTAGAGGGAGCTCACCCTGAACGGCTGGCTGTGGGGGCAATCTTCGTATCCAGTAGTTCCAATTTTGCAATCCAGCTGTGTTAGATTGCAAAATCGTGAATTAAAAAACAAACTAGCAAAAGAAAACAAGAATAGTTCAAGTTAATTAATGTGTATATATAGACCTATTAGTTTTGGACCTGTGATTTTTAAGTTCATGCGCATAATAAATTGATTTTTCTGAATTTGCAGAGAGAAAGCATAGACATGGCAAACCAATCTACCCAGGAGGTTATTGAAGAATTGAAGAAACTTCTCAGGTTGAATTTTATAAATCCATACATTAATATGTCTAATGCCAATTAGCTAGATGCATGTTATCTTCATTTACAAACAGATATATTGCCATATCCGGGGTTGTTTTTGTAGTTAATTTCATGTCCTAATATTCTGTCAAACAGTGTCTGCTTTCATGTTAATACTTAAAAATATGCACAAGATGATGAGGGTGTTGCTTGCAGTGAAAAAGGAGACCTAGACTGTGAGGTTCAGGGGAAAATTGAAAGGCTGATTGCTGAGTTGAAATGGCCAG